CTCAGCACCACATAAAAATAAATAAACATCTACAATGAAAAAAAATATATAAAAAATAAAAAAGATTCAGGACTATCCTTCAAATCAGTCTTTAAAGGATGTTATTGCAGTCATCAAAATTTTTAAATTTTTAAGTTTTTTCTTGCTTTTTCTTCATACACATCAATTGTCTAAGATTACTTTTCTATCTAGCAATTCACCTCTTCTCTTTATTAGCAGGATTTGGGGTTTCCCATTCTAGCAACTGTGTATTTATGCAGGCGATTAGCCTTCCTTAATTTTCTCTGTCTGGCCTGTCATCACCACTGTATTTTTGTCAGGTACCTCCTCATCTTACAAATGAAGACATGAGGGAAAAGGAGATGAGGTCTTGGGCCACGTGACAAGCTCGTGGTAGAGAAGGGCCTCCCTCCAGCCCTCTGGTCCTGAGCCACACTGCCTCTTCCCTCAATCATGACTTCAAATTTTTCTCATCTCAGAATTTTGAAGTTTTCTACTTTAAAATTTAAGAGACTCATGAATCACACATTTGCTTCCCCCACCTGGAAGTAGTGCACTCATTCCTTTAAAGCCTAAATGGGAAAATTACTACTAGAAAAGAGACTGTTGTTTGGGGCATGTCAGGCAGCTGTGGGTGCACTTCCCTCCCCTCTCACTCAACAGTGCAAAGGTCTGGTTCTTTTTTTTAATTATTATTATTATTTGTTCTAATTAGTTATACATGACAGTAGAATGTATTTTGACTTGTTATACACAAACGGAGCACAACTTTTCATTTCTCTGGTTGTACACAATACAGAGTCACACCATTCATGCAATCAAACTCAAACTATCACTATTTGCTGACAATATACATGTACCTAGGGTAATAATGTGCGTCTCATTCCATCATCCTTCCCACCTCCATAACCACTCCCCTTCTCTCACTCCCCTCTACCCAATCCAAAGTTCCACCATTCTTCCTTGCCCCCTTCTTTATGGATCAGCATCCACATAGCAGCGAAAACATTGGGCCTTTGGTTTTGAAGGATTGGCTTATTTCACTTAGCATGATTTTCTCTATTTCCATCCATTTACCTGCAAATGCCATAATTTCATTCTTCTTTAAGGCTGAGTAATATTCCATTGTTTATATATACCACAGTTTCTTTATCCATTCATCTATTGAAGGATGCCTAGGTTGGTTTCACAGTTTAACTATTGTGACTCGAGCTGCAATAAACATTAATGTGGCTGTGTCACTGTACTATGCTGATTTTAAGTCCTATGGGTATAGATCGAGGAGTGGGATAGCTGGGTCAAATGGTGGTTCCATTCCATATTTCCTAAGAAATCTTCATACTGCTTTCCAGAGTGGTTGCACCAATTTGCAGTCCCACCAGCAATGCATGAGTGTACCTTTTCCCCCCACAACCTCACCAACATTTATTGTTGCTTGTCTTCTTGATAATTGCCATTCTGACTGGAGATGAAATCTTAGAGTAGTTTTGATATGCATTTCTCTAATTACTAGAGATTTTGAAATCCTAGCCAGAGCAATTAGACAGGCAAAAGAAATTAAATGGATACAAATAGAAAAAGAAGAACTCAAACTATCACTATTTGCAGACAATATGATTCTGTGTTTAGAGGATCCAAAAAATTCCACCAGAAAGCTTCTAGAACTAATAAGTGAATTCAGCAAAGTAGCAGGATATAAAATCAACACCCATAGATCAAATGCATTTCTAGACATCAGTGATGAATCCTCTGAAAGAAAAATTAGGAAAACTACCCCATTCACAATAGCCTCAAAAAAATTTAAAAAAAATACTTGGGAATCAAACTAACAAAAGAGGTGAAAGATCTACAATAAAAACTACAGAACACTAAAGAAAGAAATTAAAGAAGACCTTAGAAGATGGGAAGATCTCTCATGTTCCCCCCAGGCAGAATTATTATTGTCAAAATGGCCATACTACCAAAAGTGTTACACAGATTTAGTGCAATTCGGGTTCCCTATTCCTCAGCTTCCTGATATCCTTGTTCCTGAGATTTCTTTCCAAAAGAAAAATTTTAATATTAATTCCTCACTGTAATTGGAACATGAGAACCATACAAGAATATAAGTTTCTGTACTTAGATACAACAGGGAAAAGAAGAAGAAGAATTTTAGAATTTATATTTAAACAATTTTTGATTATCCTAATAACTTCTTTTGAAACTCTGATATTTCATTATGATACAGGATGAAATTCTTATTATAATGTTTGGGACTACCAGGGTCATAGATTTGGGATTGATTTTTAGATTTACATATACAAAATGAGGTATATTAGGGATAGGACCCATGTATAACATGAAATTCATTTATATTTCATATATACTTTATATACATAGCTCAAAGGTATTGTGACAGATAGGAGGAGCCAGCATCTTAGTCTACCAAGGGTGCTTTTTTAAAGATGAAGAAATTAAGTTATAAGTAACATGGAAACTTTATTATTCTCCTCTGTTAAATAAATTTATCTTCAGACATGAAAAGACCATAAGAAAAAGCATAAGTGATTGTCATCCCACAGACCTGCCTATTAAAATCCAATAAGACTATAGGGAATTATTTGAAAAATAAAAGCTGCTCATCCTTAAGTTCTAAAAAGATGATATGGTCCCTGCTAAGTTAGAGTGTTGAATGGGATTTGACCAGAGCAGAAAGAACATTCACTAGAGAGCATGCTCAAGGAACAAGACAGCCACTCCAGGGTGGAACTAGAAGCATCGATTGTGTGTGGCTGGCTCAGCTGCTGCTATCTTTGCTGTTAGAACGAGGGGTGGGCAGAATGAACCACCCTACTGATGGGAGGAGGCTACAGGTATCGACCAGAATTCTCTGCAGTGGTTGGAAGGAGGGACATTTGAAATATATAAGGTACAAACTACTGCTGCATATAGCACGGGAACCATTTATTATAAACTCCAAGGTGAAAGTAAGGGGGACTCTGAGTAGCATCATGACCGAGTGAATGTCTGAACAGAAACAATCCTAGAAATGAAGGAGAAGGGGAAAGAAAAGCAGGATATTGTTAATTGCCCTTGGCTAATGTCTGCGAGACCAGGGGAATTAATACAGCAAGAAGAGCAAAACTAAAGAGTAGCAGCCCCCCAAGAGTTAGGAGGGTGGGCAAATTAACCATGGGCTCTGGGGTAAATAGCCATCACACCTGAGAACCAAAAAAAGCACTCTTGGTAGCCTAAGACCACTGGCTCCTCCTAACTGTCATTAATAAAACTGCCCTGAAATTGACAGCAAGAGATACAAGGCCTAATGTTCTCTTCACCTTTTCTCAGGACCAGGTTTTTTGGTTATTAATGATCATTTAGGAAACATGGTATCTATAAGAATTCTTAGCACAGGAATACGCATGTGGTTGGAATGGATGTTATTATTCTACCTTATTTAAAAAATATCTTTTTTCATTTCAAAATGAAGATGGCTCTCTCACATGACCCTTTAGCTTTATGAATCAGTGCAAATCTCTAGGCTTCAGCCATAGAAGCACTGGTTTCTCGGTTCACTATCCCTGACTGGTGTCTTAATGATGAAGGTACACTTGTGGAACAACTAAACTAATTAATAAGTTTCAAACACCAGAGCAGCAGAAAATCAGAAAAATATTACAGACTAGCATGTAGTTTTGGAAAAGGAGATGATCCAAACATTGGAGGTAATAATATCTCAATAATAATAATAATCTTTTATATGCATAGCAAAGTGTTCAAGTGTATTTTGATGAAATTGTAATAAACACCATGGAAAAGTACTATTTGTTTATAGGTAAGTAGTCAGGCTTAGAAAATTTTAGCCACTTGTCTAAGGAATCATGACCCAGATATTGTGAAAATAAGAATTAAATGCAGGTGTTTAGCTTCAGGTCCAGAGCTCTGTCCCATATGACACCTGCCTCTTCCAAGCTTTAAGTGACATCAAGAGTGTTCTCATTGTTCACACATTAATTCATCACCTACTCACTGCAAATCTATGTTCTAATTATTATGTCAGGCACTGCAAATGCTGTGATTGACAGGATGTAGTATCTGTCTTCAAAACAAGCCTACAATCTGGCAAAGGACAGAGGCAAATCCAAACTGGTCATGATGAAACAGTGAGGTGTAAGCTACAACAGAAAGAATAGAGCAGGTTGCAGGAGCACATGTGTAAAACATCTTACCAATAATGAGTTAGAGAAGCATCCTACAGGAATTGATGTTTATACTGAGTCCCCAAGGGTGAGTGGGAGTTGAAGAGTGTTCCAAGCCAAAACTGAATCACTCCTAAAAGGGAGGTGATTCTAAGACAGGCTCAGGACAGGGAAAGACCTGAAGGTTTATATATGCCACTTAGGTTACCTATTCCTGCTATTTGACAAATTAGAGACATCATCCATCCATCCATTCATTCATTAATCCATCAATGCATCATCCATCCATCCATCCACCTATCATCCATTCTTCTATCTCCCTGCCTTCCTCCTTTTCTCCCTTTCTTCTTTTTTCCTCCATCCTTTCTCCATCAGCCTCCATATATCCATCCATCATCCATCCATCCACCCTTCCTTCCATCCATCCATTTTTTCACAGTAGGTGCTAGATAATTATTGAATGAATTAATTTTTAAAATGTTTATTGAGAGACATTTTATGTGCCTGGCACTGTGGCAAGCAATGTGGAGGACATAAAGATATAAAAGGCATTATCTTAGTTGGCAAGATGCTTAGAAGCTAATTGAAGAGATTTACACATGCACATATCGTTACAATGGAAGCCGGATGGAATGGGGGCCCCAAGAGATGTCCTCAGGTCTTGTAGGTTGTGGAGACATTATTTGAAGAAAACCTAAGTTTCAGTGATAAAATTAACAGGCTGACATCAGACTAAATATTCTCTTTCTTTTTTTCTGTTTGCTTATTTGTTTTATCTTATTTATCTGTTTGTTTGTTTTCCTGAAATTTGCTCTTTGACAGATTCTGTGGCAACAGCATCCGGGCCATTACTAGTTGAAGTTGCCAAAACTCCTGGTGCCAGCCTTGGGGTTGCCCTAACTACCTCCATGTGCTGTAACAAACAGGTCATTGTCATAGACAAAATCAAATCTGCAAGCATTGCAGACAGGTGAGTGTCACAGAAAGCGCCTACCTTTCATATTTGCGTGTGTATTTAAAAAAATCATGCATGTATACACACACACCACACATACACACTTACATAACACACATACACATACACAGTAAAAAAAAAACAACAGCTCTCTTGCCAGTTTATACAAGTTTAAGGTAAGAAAACAAGTCAATATGTGGGACTTAAAAATTTACCTACACTATCGATCACCCTGGAATGTAATGTGATTTTATTCAATGGTTGGAGTACTCTTTATCAATTAAAAAAAAAAAGTCAAACAAACAAGCAAATTGTCTTACTGTGGAACAGCTGACCCGGTCTTCATTAAGTCCAGTAGAGAGAAGTCAAATGTTTTCCTGAGTTGTTATCAGTTCAGTCCTGCTACCATAAAATTGTATTCCTTTCGTTCTTACGTAAAAAGTATTTTAAAAAGAATATCATCTTTAAAGACAAGTCTGAGGGGCTGGGGCTGGGGCTCAGTGGTATAGCACTTGCTTAGCATGTATGAGGTGTTAGGTTCTATTCTCAGCACCACATAAAAAATAAATAAAGAAATCGTGTCCAACTACAACTAAAAAAAAATATTTTAAAAAGACAAGTCTGAGACTACCATAGTAAATTAATCTTGGGTTTCACAACTTTCCAAAGTCTCTTAAAACATCATCCATTCCAGTGTCATAATAAAAATCGTACTTATTTTCCTAATTAACATTTTAGACTCGTAAGGTCAAAAGGGAAGGGGAAAAAAAGATTATCTTCCAACCTAATCAATTATTTTACAGCTCCTGATAAGAAAGTCCTCATCTCTTGTAGTGGAAGCACTTCAAGTAAATCGACATGGAATTATATGTTAGGTGGAAGGGATGGCTTAAAACCTGGAGAAGTACACTCCTCACATCAGTCTCCTCTGTGTTTCCAGCCCTCTTCTCCTCTTGGCTTGGCCCTGTCTGGAAGTCCTCCAGCTCCACAGGGACTCGCAGCCACCCCCACTGGTGGTCAGTCTACAGCTCCACTGTAGTCTTACCCTAACGTGCAGTTCTCTAACAGTGGCAGCCATTGATCCAGGGGTGTTCTCCAGTCCGATGGTGTAGGATGCTTTAATCGTCTCCCTCTGTTTTTTCCCATTCCACAGGGGGTAACCAGTTAAAGGAGCTGTCCACTTGACTGGTACGTCGGGATGCTGACTGCTGTGTTTGCTTTTCTCCACTCATCCAGTAGCCAGCCCCTTGAATTCAGCAAGACGTAGCAGCTAGCCCCACCCCCAGCTTTCCCCCTTGACTCACCACGCAGGCCTGGTTTTATTACTCACTTGATTCCTGAATAATTTCCATTGCCATCCAGAGCTTTTGTACTAATAAATGTTTAACTCCAGAATAACAAAATAAAGCAGAATAATAAAGACCTGGTGCTCTGAGAGCTTATATGAAGGAATTCTGAGGAAGTAGTAACCGAATCACCTCAAATTATTCTCATTCACGTATAAAAAAGACCCTATTCCAATTCTAGGAGTCATGTCTCCAGATTCTTAATAGTAGCCAACTCAGATTTATAGATAGAAAATCGTAGGAGGAAGAAACACAGAAAAAAGTCAAGGGGAAAATTCTCCCTGTGCTACACTGTCCTCTTGCTCACTTCACAACATGCAGCATCGCCCATCCCCAAATAATATTTTTTGAAGAAGGACAAGAGGGGAAAAAAGTGTTACTTTGCATTTTTCTGCATTCTCTACAAGACTTTACATTCTGATTCACATCCAGGGGGCTTATAATTTGACAGATGGTGTTTCCTATAACACTCAAACTTTTCCTTTTTTTTTTTTTATTTAAAGTAAATGAAAACTGTGTGAAACTCTAACTATGAAGGACATGAAAGTCGTATTCCAAAGAGGAAGACACTTCATGGTACCCAGTGTTTCTCCTTCCCATAGATGTGGTGCGCTGCACGTGGGGGACCACATCCTGTCCATCGATGGCACTAGCATGGAGTACTGCACGCTCGCGGAGGCCACTCAGTTCCTGGCAAACACCACTGACCAGGTCAAGTTGGAGATCCTTCCCCATCATCAGACTCGCCTGGCCTTGAAGGGACCTGACCATGGTGAGAGGATCCATCTCTTTATCTTGGTCTTACCCTTGTCACTTCCTCCAGAGAGTTAGAAGGCAGAAAGACACTGAATTCAATTCTGCCTTTATCGCTTCTTTTCAAAACAATAGGTTATCTTTGTGTACCCTGTTTCCTCTTCCAAATCTCTTTTTTCAAGCCACTCATAATTTGCTGGAAATCCCAAAGTTGCAGAAAGAATCATTGTTGGAAATAGAATTTTCAGGGCTAGTACTATTTGATTTTTTTTTTTTTTAAATGTCTTTGGTACAAATTGAGTGTGGTAAGAAGGGGGAATAATTTGACTTCTCTATAAAAGTATTCATATTGAATTTCCAGTCTATATAAAAGTTAATAAAGGCAAATAGTACAATTCACTTTTTACTCCTCAAGTATTTGGTAGGGAGTCCCAGTGGTAGGAATGGCTGAGCTCCTATATATTTTGTCTATTTTCTACAGTGATGTTTTTCTTAGGAGAGAGAACATCCTTTCTGATCAAACATCTGACACAGGACAATCAATACTTGACTCCATTTATTCAATAAAAAGTATCAACTGGGGGGATCTGCATTTCAGTCTTGAAGTTCGCAGTTATGTCTTCAGAGTATTTATATATCACCTACCTGTGCACCTTCAAACAAAACCTGGTGTAAGAGGCTGGGCGTAGGGTCTTATGCCTATAATCCTAGCAGCTCAGAAAGTGAGGCAGAAGGATCGAGAGTTCAAAGCCAGCCTCAGCAAAAGCAAGTCGCTAAGCAACTCAGTGAGACTCTGTTTCTAAATCTATAACTAAAAATAAATAAATAAATAAATAAATATTTTTTTTAAATACAAAATAGGGCTGAGGATGTGGTTCAGTGATCGAGTGCCCCTGAATTCAATCCTCAATAATGAAACAAAACAAAACCTGGTGTAAGAAAAAGGACTTGAGCCCCAAATCAAATGAAGTATTTGTCCCAACTCCTGCCTGTCCCTTAAGCCAGTGCTCTCTTTATTTATTTCTTGAAGCCAGGAGCCTCACTTGCATTGGCCTAAAAGAGGGGAGAATACATTTCTGTCTATTTAAAGAAAGCACATTTTCTTGAGAATTGAAATTTTGCTTATGCAGAGGTCATTTGTATTATGTGTTTCTCACCTTCTAAAATGGGCTGCTGCTCTCTGCAGTGAAAAAAGAAGGAAACAAAAAAAAAAAGAACTAGATAATTTTCATACTGAATGAGTCAGCTGGATGCAACCTTTTTAATTAAATGGAGCTTAGACAGCCCTAGAGCTAATGAAAATCTCTAGTACACATTACCCTTATCAGATTTTAATTTTACACATCGGAGTAGAGAAATGATGCAGCATAGGCAGGTTAAGAAAAGAAAATCAGCATCATTTGAATAGAGATGCTAAGGAACTATAGGAAGGTGAAGTTCATGGCATACACACCATTCCTACCAGGAGCCCCAATGAGCCTTTCCTGCAAACAGGCCAAGAGGAGAGAACACTAAAATTGCCTAAGTTTCTTGAAAGTGAATCTTAAATTGCATTGGATTTGTAGCATAGAGTGTAAGAGTGGGTGCTGGGTGGTGCATGTTAAGCATGATGTTTTGCTTGCTCCATCCTGAAACCAGTGAATCAGAAATGCATAACAGACCCTCTTAAAATGCTATTGTCTTTTCAACCTCATTTATTTTACTTTGATTTGCCCTGTACACAAATCATAAATGGCTCAACTAGTTTCCAACTCTTAAAGTATTAAATAGTTTTACCTCCTTGCCAAGACAATTTAAAAAGATGAATATAGATACTGAAATGTATAGACCAAGAGTACTTGTTTTTTCTTCACTGTGGAAAACCTGATATTTATATTGGAGAGGCAGGAGGGTGACAGTTTATGTGACTCCAGCTTATACTTCTAATCCCATCATCAGCCTTTGCTAAAAGTTGTTCACCATCTTCCTAACCTAACATATTGGCATCTCCCCTACATTGTGAAATCAAAATCAGACACTTATTTCCAAGAGAAAATAAATACTAACTTCCCAAACTTAATTAAATCATGGTCAAAAAAATTTGTATAAGAAAAATTTTGTTGTGTTTGAAATTTTCAAACTTCTATTTTGGTAATAGTCAAGTTTCACAAAGTTTCAGCCTTTTTCCATAAGACAGTTCTGGTTATTGTTCCAAGACCTCTGTTACCAAAACAGCATGTCTCCCATCCCACAGGTAGATGGAGATACATTTCTCAAGTTTTGTTAGCAACAAAGCTTTCACCACAATGTTTTCAGGGCAAGGTAGAAAAAGAGATTCGTGGTGCCTTTTCTAATAGAGAACCACATTAAAGAAGTTGACAAAAGTGAGTTTTCAATGAGATTAAAAAGTATTCCCATTGAGGGTCTTTGGGAAATATAATGACGACTAAAGAAAACTGAGACTTTGGAAAAGAAAATGTGGCCAGTGTCACTAAACTTGTTACATTCAATACAAAGAGAACATTCCATTTATGAAATCCAGGGGCAGCTAGAGCAGCTGTTGCCCCCTTCCTCAAACATCCTGGTCTGGGCAAGGAGAACAAAGGACAGCATCTTCCATGTTATATACCTCTTAAGACTGCCCCAGTGTTGCCACCATGACATGACAGGAAAAGCGTTTTATATTAAACTTGCTGTTTGCTTATCTGCAGTAAGGTATTCAGGGCACACATAGGAAAACGCAGTAGAGTGTGGTGTGGCTGAGGGCAAAAACTCTAGAACAGACTTCCAGAGCTTTAATGCTGGCTCCACCATGTGAGACTTTAAGCAAGCTTCCCAACTCTTATTCAGTTCAGGTTTTTCATCTGTAAAGTAGGGGTTATCATACCTGTCTTATGGGAATAAGATGGGATTATCGGAGATGATACATGAAAAGTTGCTCAGCATAGTGCCTGGAATATAGTAAGAACTCAGTGGAAGCAGGCTGCCTTTTTTGCAAAATAAGAGAATGTGTGTCTGAATGTGCTTTGCAAAATGAAAGAGCATGCCAAAAAAATGTAACCTCCGATTATTAAATTCCTGAGATATTTACATAATACATGAAAATTAAGTGTACTGCTATAAAGCACAGTAGATTAGGAATGTACATTCAGAAAAGACGACTCTCTCCTCTGCCCTAAGTTATTTGGTGAAGACTTTTTGTACTCATTATCCATGGCATGCAATTTTGTGTATCATCTTATATCATTTTGTCTCTAAGTTATTTCATTGTATATGAAGATTCAGCCCCTAGTAGTTATTCAAAGTCTAGATAAAGTTTACAACAGATATTTAACCAGCCTGCAACAATTGGAACAGTGCTAGGCACACAAGAGGTAGTCAATAATACCTTTCTTATTGATTTATTGATTGGGCTTGACAGTCCTTATGAATGCTGAGGAATGTTCAAAGCAGTCAATTAAGAACTGGGTCAAAAGGTAGGTGTGGAATTCTGAAGCCCATTCACTGTGCCCTAACTTTATTTTAAACACAGATAATATTTTGTTTAGAGTACAGTAGGGTGGCTGTGGTTGTAGATTAACCAGACCCAACAATAACTGCTTCTTGCTAAAAAGTTATCTTTTAAAACCAAAGTGAATGAGGACGGTGAAAGATCCACTAGGGATGTCCCTGTGGTACTTTTTTATCCAAGAGAAAATGCAGCTGCTGTGTGGATATGGACACTCTGACTGCTATCCCTGCTCCCCTGTGCATTCATTTACTGATTTATTCCCACATCAATCAGTATGCACCAGGCACTAGTCCAGTTGCTAAAATATATCTAGTGAGTAAGGCAGGCCAAGTAGATCCCTCTTCTTGTAGAATTTAAATTCTTGTAGAAAGAGACCAACATTAAAAACTATATTATATAAATAAAGCCATTTCAGACAGTAGTAAGTGCTTTGAAAAATATAAAATAATAATGGGATACCATCTGAGAGGCCGCTAGTTCATCCAGGGAGGTCAGCAGTCACTTCTCTGAGAATGTGGCATCTGAGCTGAGACCTGAATGATGAGAAGGAGCCTGATGCAAAAATAACTGGGGGAAGAAAAGCAAGGTAAAGGCCTGGAGGCAGGTAGGAAGCCTGGCTCGTGCTAATAACAAGACTTGAGACCAGTGAGGCTGAGAATATGAATGGAGAAGGTGGTGATGCAGATGAAGGTGAAGAGAGAAGAAGGGCCTGCGTTGGATGGTGGGTATAATGATAAGCCCTCTGACAGGATCCAACCTAGATACTTAAAAGCTCCACCTGGCTGTGTTGTGGATACTGAAAAGCAGGTGTGCAGGAGACGAATCAGGAAACCAAGTCTGGAGGTGATGCCAAGCTCTAGGTGAAGGAGGTGGTGGCTTGACCCAGGATAGTGGAGAAGGAGAGGAAACCCAAACAGCAATGGAGTGGAAGGAAAGGGTGGGATGATTTAGGACTGCACAGTTGGCTTTGAAAGTGTTCTGCAGGTTTCTGACCAGCCCTCTGAGACTTAAGTGTTCAGTGAGTGAAATTTGTTGAGTGACTCACATCTATTTCCTTTGAAAAGTCCATGGTTGTATAAGTGGAGAGAACAGTAGGAGAATCAGTGTGACAACTCCCAATTCATTTGTTTTTACCCACATCAGCACCACACTGAGCTCCTTGCGTGCTTAACCCTCACAGCAGTCCTGGGGAGCAGACGCTCTCATGACCTCCAGTTGGAGATGAGGAAACTGAGGCTGAGCAGCTGAGTAGCTAGCCAAGGTCATACAGAGAAGAAGGGCAAAAAGCATCCAAAAACCAGATCGTCCTCATTGCACAATGACTGTCCATGCTAGGGCTTGTGTTCCATGTACTGTCTCACTCCAGAAAGTACAAGAAGCACCAAGGAAGCTGGTTTCATGGACAGTATGATTTAAGTTCTTATCTACACAAATATATACATTCAGCCCCTCTGTATGAATAACTACTGTTAAATAATTCACATGTAAGACACCTAACACTAGAATCCTGAAAAACTGAAAGAAATAAAACCTCATCGTTATTTTAACTTTTCAGATGGTTCAGTGACAAACTTCCTGTCAATAGCAAACGTAATTACTCATATATCAGAATGCTGAGTAGAAAATCACATCAAAACTAGGATAGAAGCATGATAAGCACTCTTTAATAAATAAAAGGGGCACCAAGACTTTGAAATAAACCTCCTATTTTATGAAATAGATAGAATATGTGGAGTATTTCAAGAATTAACTATTTCTAATGGAAAAGCACTTTTTCCAAAAAAAATTTATAAAATATATTGAGACTTTTATCTTCTCCTTTTCAGTCAGGATGCAGATAAGATTCTGATACTGACCGATGATTAGAGTGGTTTATTGTTGAGGAAAATCAAGTCCAAGTGATGGATCATGGCATAATTAAAATGTCAGAGCAGTAAATTGTGATGTGTAACTAGTAACCCACACGAATCATGAGACAATGTGATTTATTGTTCCTTCTTTTCTTTTTCTCCAAACAAGTGCTACTAAATGGCCAATATTTGCAAACCTTTAATTACTAATCATGTACCATAGATCTTGTTGGAGCTGACTTTTAAGTTTAAAAAAAAATGTTTTTAATCTCTACTGGAAAGCATAGGGAGAGATTAGAAATTGATTCAATGGCCATCCTAAAAGGAGAAAAAAAAGGGTCGGGCCCAGACATGCATTATTCTTGGGAAGATGAAAAGTTTCCATTGCTGATGTTAATCATCTCTTTCGCTGACCACAGAAAAGGCAAAAGCCAAGTGAATTTTTTTTCTTTGCAATTAGCTTTCATTTTGTTACACTTTTTCTTTTTTATTTGTGCAATTCAGTTACTTTTTCCTCTTGTTTTTTTTTTTTTTGGTTCTTTGTTTGTTTGTTTGTTTTTCTTATTTCTCATCATCACTTCATATGGGCAGTGAAAATTCAGAGGAGCGACAGGCAACTTCCCTGGGATTCCTGGGCCAGCAACCACTGCAGCCTTCACACCAACCACCACTATAATACGCACCACCCTGACCATTGCAGAGTGCCAGCCCTGACATTCCCGAAAGCGCCTCCTCCAAACAGCCCTCGTAATGTTCCAGGCTTTCTCCTCTTGGTCTTTCATTTAAATTATATTCTTCTCGCTCTTTCCACCTCTAATTCATTCCATCTTCTGCTTTGTGGGTGTTGCGTGCTTTTTTTTTTTTCGTAGTAACGATGTGTTATTTGCAATATCTCCTTAGTCTTTTCCATCAGAAAGCATTTGTCGTTAAGAAAGGAAGTTAATGTTCAGAATTCTTGATACATGATTCAGGATATACAGTTCAGAATATTATATGGAGTATGATGTTCTCAGTTCTTTGTGTGTGTGAAATCACTTATGCAATCCGTGTCAGAAAATATCTATGAAAATTAGATCATGTATCAGATGCCTTGGGTTGTTGTTTGTGGAGAACATGGTTTCAATGTCTGTTTTTTTCGTTGTTTGAAGCAAACCTCCTAGAGTCTCTGTTTTCCTGTGTGCTTCTGAGGCTCCTGCTACTCCTCAGCACTTCTAAGCTCTTGTAACTCTTGAGATTCCAAAGTGCTATCTCCTGGCTCCTGAAGCCTTGTCTCTGTCTGGTTGGGTAGCTACTAGCCGCTGCTGTTCATCATGTGTGTCTTTCTGAATTAAAGCTGGCTGGCAGGGGTGGCAGCTCAAAGGCCATCTGCGAGTGCTCTGTGCCAAGTCTTCACTCTCTTACAGCAGCTGTGGTGTCTTCGTCCTTCTCTCCTACCTCCATGAGTGCGTACAGCCTGAGTTCCCTGAACATGGGGACTTTACCTCGAAGCCTCTACTCTACTAGCCCACGAGGAACCATGATGAGGAGGAGACTGAAAAAGAAAGACTTCAAAAGCTCACGTAAGTGAAATGTTAGCTAACGTTAGTCACTTGGCCTGTGGAAAACAAGCAGGCCCTGGAGTTTTCAATTCGTTGAGACCTGTGGGAAGAGCATTTGAATGCCTAAGTGATCAAGGAGAGGTAAGAAGCCAGAACTCGGGGCCAAGGATAAGGACATGGTGCCCATACTCTGCATGATAATTATTGGCTGGGTATAATTTCGGACAGCCACTAGTTCATACTGTCTTTCCTACAACTTTTTATTGGACATTTTTTTTCTTCCTCTTTTGATGTCACAAAGTAGTCAAAGGTGTGACTTTAGTCAAAGGTGTGACTTTTAAGACTCCTTTTTTATATTCTGGATAGCTTTGGATGAAACCTTTATTCTTAGTTTCTTATTCCCTCTAAAGCTATGTTGTAAAACTCTGCCCGCCTTTTGATAAAGGTAATAATCTCATACATTTTAATGCTATTTCATATAACAAATTAAATTTAACAAATTATTCAACAAATAATATACCAAGTTAAATTTCATACTAAATTATATTTCATGACCTGACTTAGCCCCCACCAAAATCAGTGATAAGTTTGAACATGCTTTTTCATATTATATCTCATTCCCCAAGTTCCCCTTACTTTTCTTACTAACTTTCCCCAATGAGACTCACCTCTCTCACATGAATTTCTTACTACCCTTTGCAGCATTAAGAAGGTAAGAAGGATGCAAACATCCTAAAGTATAGGAATTTCAACTATCATTCTTGGAAACTCTAGCTTCTGGGACAACCAAATAAAATATAGACTGAGCAAGACTAGAAAGGTGTAGTTGGCTACTCAGTTTAAGATAGCTGGCTATCTGTATAAAGGGGGAAAAAGGGATGATATAATGTTTTAACAGGGGAGAAACACAAATCACTCCTTAATTTTTCTTTTCTGTAGAGGAAGATCATATTCTATCACCATAATCTCAAAACTTTGAGGGAAAGAGAACACTAACATCTCCAACCAGATCTAATCATAGTTTAGAGAGGTGCATTTCTTGCCCCTTTATCTTTTTGGTGGTTGTTTGATTGTGATTTCTATAAATAAACCTAAAGAAGATGGGGTCTCTTCCTGTGCTGACCATAGAAAATAAAAATAAGGAACAGCCTCAAGTTATTTAAATGAAACCAACCCTGGTCCTTCCAGGCTAGTACTGACCAGAATGCTCTGGTAAGAAGGACTGGTTTGCTAGAGATTCTTCATCTCCAGAGGACCTCTCACCAGTCCCATCAGTGCCCCAACCTTGAGGGTCACCAGCCATCCACCACACTGGAAAGTGTTTTCTTCGTGTTAAAGGAATCCAAATGCTTCCTTACAAAGAAAACCATAGAAAAAGAGGGTCACTACCATGATGGGTGCATGGTTTTGACTTGCCTGTCCTTTCAAGTATAAGGAGATTTGTCATCTTCAATATGTGAAAATGACAATAAATTTGAAATTAGTAAAATGGAAGATTGAGTTTAGTCAAAGAAAAAGCAAGAAGCATCCAAGAGTTTCATTCATTTCTTAGCTAAGACTAGAGTAAATTATTTACTTTTGGAAGAAACTAGTTGAAGGCAATAAAGTAAAGTGATCATGAGCCTGGACTCTAGAAATAGGAAGTCTCATCCCAGCATCATACACTCTAGCCAGGGAACCCTGAGCACGTTGGCTTAGCTCTTTATGCCTCAGTGAAAATTAGAGATAAATGTAGTGGTTACTTCTCTGGATGATTTTGAAGAAAAAAAAATATATGTGTGTGTGCGTGTGTGTGTGTGTGTGTGTGTGTGTGTGTGTGTGCGTGCGTGCTAAACAATATCTGGTGAATAGTAAGCACTATTTAATTGTTAGTTATGCTGTATAGCTGTATTAGTGTTATATACCTGAAATTGAATTGTCCAATGTGAAAATCTGTTGCCATTGCTTTCAAATTTAGGCATTTTCGACAGTGGTACACTTCGACATAATGCATAGATCTTGAGTCTTTCATTTAATGCCTTCAGATTTGAAGCAGATATTTGTATATAAATTTATATAAATATATAATGGCTTCATGTACAGTACTAACAGCCCTCAATAGGGAAGAGCAATTAAATGATTTCATTAATGTTTGTACTTCTGTTTCAAAGGCTAACCATTTGTTTGCATTAGGCAAGATTTGCTGTGTTGATTAAGGCCATTAGTAACACAAATGAATGATAATGTGTTTGGCTAGCTCAGGTTGATATTGACACATCTTGCATTTTTTAGTAGGAAACAAAGTCGAGGGCACACTGTCACTGAAACCCATAACCCATAACCAACTCGTAAATCAGCATGTTGTTCTCCAACATAGTAGGAATATAAACAGAAAATTTATAGAAAATTTCTAGTTCATGATTTCTGTAGACATTAGCCACAAGAGCACCGCTGATCACATGTACATAACAGGAGGTTTATAAATATATCTCAGGAGACCATACATTTTATATTTTAATCAGACAACAAAGCCCCAAATACTACAAACTTTTATTCCTACTTCAAAAAGACTTGAGAAAATTATGACAGTATTCCAAATTCCAGAAAAAAAATTTTGAGAATTTCTTTTTTCTTTTTTTTTCTTTAATAGTGATTTTTTATTTTTGGCGGACACAACATCTTTGTTTGTATGTGGTGTTGAGGATCTAATCCGGGCCGCACGCATGCCAGGCGAGTGCGCTACCACTTGAGCCATATCCCCAGCCTCTTTTTTCTTTCTTAATTGCCTAAGCTTGGTATGGTCACATTAGACGTAAAGCTCTTCCCAAGTAACTGAGGATAAAATTTTTATTGACACTTTCACTGTACCTTGGTTTATTTCCCCCACATTATTTATGTCTTTATTCTCTGCCACTGTTCGCTGCCGCTTTTTGGTACTTATGTTTCTATAGCAACCAGGCCATTTGTATGGATGGTGAATCATGGCAAAAGTCACAAATACAAGAAAAAGTCTCTCCGCTTTATTGATGATGAGTTGAGGCCAGATCTTGCAAAACAGAAAAAAATAATAATAATTCTCGCATGTGTTTCCAGTACCAAGTAAGGACATGACTAGGAAAGAATGAAATATTCTCACATAAATATTAAAACTTTCTGTACCATTGACCAAAGGGGAAAACACAGAAAGTCTGTAACAACATGTGACAAGGATTAAAACAGCAAGGTGCCATGTTTGTTTCACATAGAGACTGGTGTGCACACTGCACTCTAGGCTTTGAGGAGAGTCACAAAGCCCTGGGAAGGTCTCAGAGCATGTCATAGAGGAAACTCTCATCTCTCTTCTGGAATCTTCCTGGCCTTTCTCCCACTACCTGTGTTCCCTCAGAGGCCAAGCCTCCTCCAAAAGTCTTTTCCACATGTCATGGCTGCATGAGGAGCAGTGGATCCGGCTCAATCCTTCCTGTCCCTGTATTCTCAGCTAGGACAGAGACTCCACCTGTTCCCAGGCTTCCGGAATTGCAGCAGACAAAAGTTAGAACATATTCCCAGAATGTTCTTTGCTTCTTTGCTTATCAGCACTTATTGCTAGAGAGGGTAATCTTGAAAAAGTCTGAAAAGAAGAAAATGAGAAAACCTACCAACTTTCATGGTCTCTTTCACCAACCCTTGAAAAAACAATGGACGACAAGAGCAGCTAATGGTAAGCTTTTCTAAGTGACCGTGCAGGGAGCTGTGGGCCACCTCTCCTGCTCTTCTAAACTGGATCATATGATTCACAGTGTGCTGGGTCCACAGCAGGTCGCCACTTCTGTGGAACCCTAGTGAGACAGAAGTCTCAAATAACATGATCAAATTGCATAGATATGTTCTATTAATAAACCCTTTCAGGCCCCATGTTCTCTATACTTTCAAAATTCTTCTCATATCTGATAATAAACCATACAGCCTCATAAATTAAATAAGCCTTTCTAGAATTTTTTAAAAAAATCTTTGGCTGTCTTTTGTTCCCCCTAACCTTCCTTACTCTGGGAAAGGAAAAACAAAAACAAAAACAAAAACTATTCCTGCAAAAACAGAGCTGTGAACAGAACCATCCCTGTAAGAATGAGAACAAGACAGAGCAGACTGAGTTCTGAACACAATGTGGATGAACACTAGTGAGCTGATTTCAAATGTAGGGTGTCAGCAACTTAATCATTTCCATCTTCACCTTAGTAGAAGCCCTGAGCCAGAGCCAAGAGCTCGTAGCCTTTGCAGATCAAATACCTTGCAGGAGGATCCGCTACTGCAGCAAAAAATTTATCACACAAATCTTAAACTACAGGGTTATAATTCACAAATCACCTTTATTTTCTTTCGTGGCTGACCGCATTAATGAAGCAAGCTAATCAAGCTCATCTTTTTTCTCCTCCAAGTAATATTGGTTATTTTTTTCTTTTGGCCTTTTGGCCACTCATTTTTAAATCTATAATTTATCTTTTTCATATCTGGTAATAGTTTCTCAGACTTTAATCTGTGTAAGTAATCAATATACTTTCAAATGAAATTTTACCATTTCAAAGAACAGATTCCAATACATCAGAGGATTTTTTAGAGCTAATTGTAAAATCCTAAATTACTTAATATAATCCTATATTATGATATAAATTGTAACCTTATATAATTACATAATCAATGTAGAGTGCATGGATTTCTATTAAATTCTAAATTAAGTTGCCTAATAATTTCTATCACCTCAGCTTGTCTCCAGATAGAGCTTATAGATTTAATGATACCCTCATTGAATTCATGCTTCTTTGTCAAAAACCTCTAGAGAATGAAATTCCCTCAATTCTCTTCTCTGTTCCAAAAATACAGCCAGTGTCCTCTGTCTTCAGTAGACCTAACCTAATCCTGGCTCTTACTAGGTAAGTCATCTGGCTCTTTCTCAAAGGAGATGGGAGATAACTGACTAAAACCCAGCTTTTAACTCCAGTTCCGTAGTCCCCAAAATATTTCAAACTGAAATGTTGAATGGAAGAATATGCTAATATGAACCCATGGAAAGATTCACAAGCAGGGGGAGGGGGATAACATTGATATTGAAATCCAAGAGGCTTACTAGAAGATAAATGAAAGTGACCCTCCAGGAAGGTGACACCTGCCCTTATCATTCTGGGTGTAGAGCCAGAAGGAAATGTAGCTCTCCAAATCCTCACTGACAGGAAATGGTGTCTTCTCATGGTTTTCGGTCACTGATAGCAAAAGGCAAGGACTGGAGAGCAATTGAAGCACACTTGACATAAATGAAGGCACACCAGAAAATGTACTTGAATCAATACATAATAGTCCCTGAGTGGAACATTGGGATCATGAACCCCATGGTCTGTGCAAAGCCTGGGGTGGAGGCTCTCTCCCCCACCTACCAACTGCAGCCTTTTTTACCATAATAATCCACAGACAGAATGATGAGGTACCCAGTAAAAAAAAAAAAAAAAAGCCAGGGGTTTTGCCCCTCTTAGTCATATTCTACCTTCCCTCCCTTATCCTGTCATTCATGATCGGGAGGCTTTGGGTCCTCAGGAGTAGCTTCTAGTTCTTTATGTTAACTCAGCACACCTATGTGAAGTGTCAATACCAAAGAGGAAAATGTAGATGGTATCACAAAACTTGACTCATTCCTCATTTATTCAGCATTTACTGAACATTTCAGCACCAAGATATCAAGATAAAAAGATCTATTCCCAACCGCTCAACATCTCAGGGTCAAGTGGAGAGACAGGCAAACAAACAAAAACCTGATAAGTCCCAAAATAGCACTATGTACTAGAAATGTGTAAATGTAGAAAAGTAAGTAAGTACCTAAGTCTCCCTGGATTAAGCCAGGAAAAGGGACATTAAAAGCTGAGGGGAGTTGCTAAAGAGGCAGAGGGCACAGCATATACTAAGACACAAAGGAGTTTCAAGAGGCTTAGAGCACGTGCCCCATGGAGGGATTGTGGAAGAACACAAGACCTGATGGCAGGAGAAAATGAGCTTACGAAGAGTCTTGCGTGAACTGCTAGAATTAAAAAGTTTGTTTTCTAGGAAATGGGAGCTGTTGAAATATTCTAAACTGGGGGATTACCTTTGCTTATTGGAAAGGCCTCTTGGGCAACAAATTGAAAGCCTACAGCATGAGACAATGGACAGGGACACTGAAAGGAGATCTACACAGTAACCTGTGCTATGATGAAGTCCTACTCTAGGGGAGCAGACCAGTCAGGGTCTCACTGTGAAGGAAAGATTCATCTCCAATTTAGCAGGAGGGGACCTATAAATATGTACATTACAATAGTGGAAATAGAAAGTAATGAAAGCCTGAATTAAGGTATTGAAAGTTAAAAGGGGAAAGAGGGCTTATGCATGTTATAGGGGTCATCTTACGAGAACTTAGCAATTGATTGATGTGAGACAATGGGCAGTTGTGAGTCAAAGGCTGCTTTGAGATTTCAGCCTGGATTGACATGGTGGTGTTTTCATAGAAACAGGAGAGGAAATGAGAAGGAGAAGACCATTTACTCAATTTTGAAAATATGAGAAGCTAATGAAACATCTTTGCAAATGTATTAGCTATCAAGAAAAGAAATTTATGACTGAAACTTGAAACTAGAGAGATTTGAATCACCTTTGCAAATGTATTAGCTATCAAGAAAAGAAATTTATCACTGAAACTTGAAACTAGAGAGATTTGAACAGGTGCATGCATAGGTCCTGTCATAGGCAGGTTGGAAGTGGTGGAAAGAATGAGAGAACATAGAATAGAACTATGGGTGAGTCCAAGCTTCTTGTACAGAAGGAGGCAGAGTAACCAGCAGAGGCTGAAGATGCAGGAGACTGAGAACAAAGCTTCATCAAAACTAAAGATCGATTTCAGAAGGGATGGCCATGAAGCCAGTCACTCTGGAATAGTTAGAGCAGATGAGGCCATTGTTTTGGATGGTCTTGGAATCATTGGAGAAAGTGTTTTTGACAAAAGGTGAAAGAAGCCAAATTCTAAGCAGCTTCAGAATCAAAATCAATACAGATCAATAGATTGGATAGAGCTGGGGGGGTGATTGGGAAAGTTTAGAAAAGCAGCAAGAGAGATTTTTATGACTCAGAAGCATAAAGGGCAACTTTTAGGATGCTTTCATTTGAAGAGAGAAAACTCTGATGCTAGAAATGTTGTCTGAAAAACCAGTAGGCCAGGAGACACATGAAAGGGGATTGAGACCAGGAGTCAGAAAGAGGAGAAAGTGAGAGTGTAGAAACTGGGAAGTATGGCTCAGGAGGGATGTGTGATAAACAAGGGGGATTCAGATATGGAGATCTTGGAGATCTATCCAGGTTGATGAAATGGAGAGCCTGGCTGGGCCTGTAGAGCAGCATTAGCGTGGAATTGCTAATAAGCAATACTGAGAGCAAAGGACCCAAAGCCAGCATGTTCAAAGGGCATCACCATGACAAGGACAAGGGAAAAGTCAGGGACAAGAGCAAGTTGACTAAGAAAAAAGACCCTAAGTCAGAAAGTAGATGTGAGGGAATTTTGAAAAAGTAGAAAACTATGAACTTGCAGATGGGACAAAGCAGAAATAAGTACAGACTATGTAATTTTTTTTATTTTTACATCTTTGCAGGACTGGGGATTGAACCCAAGGGCACTTTGAATCCCCAGTCTTTTGAATTTTTTATTTTGAGACAGGGTTTCATTAAATTGCTTAGTCTGGGCTCCAACTTGCAATCCTTCAGCTTCAGCCTCCCAAGCCTCTGGGTTTACAAGTATATATCATTGCACCTGAGGACTATGGGATTTTAAACAGGAGCCAGGAGTATTATAAAACTTTCTCTTTCTTTGTCCAGACAGGGGGAGTGAAGGAAAATGGGTTGTGGTTATAGTGGGTTTTGAGTTATCTGATGTCATCAGGCTTTAATTACAGTACAGGGGCTATAGAAACCTTTTTTGGAGAAAGTAACATTTCAACATAGAACTATGCAGGCAGAGAATGTGCTCTGAGAGCACAGGTGGCCAGCTCCAGTGGGCATGGTCCAGGGGAGCCAACCAGGAGAGGTTCAGGTCTTTTATGATCAAATCTGGGCTTGGGAATAAGAAAGAGCTGTCGAGCTGAAGGCTCAGATGAGTGTTAGAGAAATGAATTCAACAGGAGACAACAGGTAGGCTTGAGAACCAGAGGAAAACACTGAGGAAGTAAAATGTGGGAATAGGAGGAGTCCATAGTTTAAATGAGACTTCATTACGCCAACACAGTGCTGGAATAAGGTTGAGGATCAACACAGCTTCAGTGGCCAGATTTAGATTAATTATGTCTTCAAAGTTGAAGATCAGATTGTTTGTAAAAAGTCATTAAAGCTCCAGCACAGATGTCTAAAGTAGGAAAGCATTAGACCAGTCCTCCGAGTTCCCCTTTCTCTAGATAGGATCCAGACACACACAGAGATGGAATAGCCTTCCCCAAGGGCCCCCAGATGGTGCTCAATGATAGAGCCAGGACCACAACCCATATGCCCATATCCCAAGGCCATCCTATTCCTGCAGCCCCCATTTTATTTCCCAGTTTGTGGGTATAAAAGAGGGAACTCCACTGGTGTTATAACTAAAATATGACAAATTGGGGGAGAATCACTTATCTTGTTTGGCTCTGGCCAACCTTCTTGCTAAAAAGCCAAAATTTAAACTCTCACCATTGCCAATGAGCTTTTGTTCAGGGACATGACCTATTTGGGAAATGCTGGTATTCCTGGTACTTGCCTAAACCTAAAATCATTCTTTTTCATGTTTTTTCCTCCAGTGTCTTTAGCCTCTAGCACAGTGGGATTGGCTGGACAGGTTGTTCACACGGAAACCACAGAAGTTGTGTTGACAGCAGATCCTGTCACAGGATTTGGAATCCAACTGCAGGGCAGTGTGTTTGCCACAGAGACTCTCTCTTCCCCACCTCTGATTTCCTATATTGAAGCTGACAGCCCAGCAGAGAGGTGAGATGTGTTTCTTTCACAGCATCTTTTTCTGCTGTGCATTTCTGGTGCCGGCTATCTTTCAGTGGCTAATAAATTATGGAACAGTGCTCAATGCAGGTAATGCAAGATGCAATGAACTCTGTGGTGATAATAAAATTTTATGTTCTTGATCATATTTAAGAAGAATGATAAACTTGGATGCCTTAATCTAGCAGATTCTTGTCCATCAGGAGACCAGAGGCTATATTAATTAAAAAGGAGAAAAATCCATGAAAAAAAAAACTGAAATTCAAACCTCAGTAATTTCTCTACCATGCAGGAATGTATCAGTTCTGATCAGATTATAACAATACTATGAGCATGGAATATTAATTACTTCCCTGGGTTACTTCAGGATTCCCTTGCCCACACTTGTAGCAAAGAAATGCAAAAGTGAAAGATATTGCAATTGACCTGATATGATTCCCACGGCATTGAATAAACAAGACCAAACAGTCATGCTATTTTGCAAGGATCAAACGAGGTAGATCTGGCAAGTTCAACTTGATGATTATGTATTCTACCTACAACCTCTAACATGTGGCTTTAAATTAGATGCGGGGTGCTACAGATTGGAGACAGAGTGATGGCCATTAATGGAATTCCAACTGAAGACAGCACCTTCGAGGAAGCCAATCAGCTCCTCCGAGACTCTTCCATCACTAGCAAGGTCACCCTGGAAATCGAGTTTGATGTCGCAGGTACAGTCCAAATCTCAAGTCAGTGGCAGCATTGGGAGCTGGCCGCATCTGAATTATATTGTTTATGTGGTAAGAAGGGGAATTATTTTTTTATATACTGACCATGTTTTTGTTTAAGGGGTTTCAGGTGTCATTTTGAATTGCACATTGTTTTTGTATTATTCATTAAAATGTCACCACCAGAACAACCGAAAATAAATGTGACATATTGAATAAGTAATAGCTACTATGGAGGTGATTTCAAAAAGTCCTGTTGCCTTTATCCTAACCTTCCCCTCTATGCTAGAGAAACCAAATTCTTTAATCCCAGAAATGAGAAAAGCCTATCGGATCCTTCCCACTGCAAAGAACACAGGGAAGTTATATAGAGAACAATAAAAATTCATTAAGTAAATTTATACAAGCTAGTAGGTAAATATTTGGCCTTTAGTGTTAAAGAGAAATTGCACCAGACACTCATTTAAAATAACAGATAAAGATTTTATTCAAGACTACTTCAATTGGGTCAAGATTATTGCAGTAAGAGAGAGATTGGACTCTACCCTATGCAGCTAGGACAGGTAGGGATTTCTATTAGCTAATGGACAAGGTGAGAGTGAGAGTGTTATTGATGGGACATTTCTAGAAGGATCCTGATTAGATGGCAGCAGGGTAATGTCTATACACAGGCTCAGGAATTTTCTTACTAAAACTGAGCTCCCAAGTCAAGGAAAAGTCTTAGTCAAGAAGAGGGCTCAGAGGAGTCTAACTAGAATTTGGTCATGGTTGGGAGTCCTAGTTAGTAAAGCAGGTGTGTGGCTGATAGAGATTGATTCTACTTACCATTTAAGAAAGTTGAATATTCACAGTGAAATTCCACTAATATTCACCTGTCAGTAACATTCACCTTTGGGAAGCAGGAATCAGATAATTTCAACAAATATTTGCTGAATATTTATTTTATACTCCCACACACAATGTAGATATAATAATAGAGAGGAAAGGAAAAAAAATACACCTGTCTTCATCAAGCATATATTAGCACAGAGGGTTAATTTATAAAGCAATGCATATAAACATAGATAATAGCATGTTCTCAGCAGAAAATAAAGCAGGATAGAGGGCTAGAGAATGACTGGGGGAGCTATCTTGAAGGATGATTCTCTGAGGAAGTGACATTTGAATGGAGATTGGAAGTAGAGAAAGTGTCAGCCATCAAAGACTCAAGAAAACGACATTCCAGAGAGGGAGCAGCCAGTATAAAGAACTTGAGCTTGAATAATAGGCTTGGGTGGGGAAGCAGCCAAAAGGGCTTCTTCTGCTGGGGCATATAAAGGGGTAGAGGTGAGAACTGGTTTGGATTTGGAGTTGGGTTGGAGAGGCTAGAAGGGGCCGCATTATACAATGCCCTGATAAAGAACTAATATTTAAGTCTAATGAAGCCAAGGAGCATTTTATGCAGGAGAGTAGGGTAAGCTGATGAATGTTTAAGAAAGAGCCTTCTGAAATGTAAGGAGGAAAAATTGGACAGGTAAAGAATCATGGTGACTTGACAAGGGGATAGCGCTAAGAAGTGATGACAATGAAATTCAGACCATGACATGAGGCAGGGCTTAGAGATTAGATATGGAAGATGAAGGGAAGGAAACTATTTTTTTTTCAAGGAAAAAAAAAAAGAGTTGTAACCTCAGGCATGAGCTGAAAACTCCATTTTCCAATACCGGAGACAATTGCCAATGCCAAGACAAGCACGACGCTTAATTCAAAAGGCAGCTACTGAGCACCCTGACTAAATGGTAGGCACTATGCTATGTTCAGATCATTGGAAAAGAAAATAGGAGAGATCAATATCCCCAAGAAGTTCATATTCAACTGAACAGGAGTAAGCACTGCTGAAAGACAAGAGGCTTACTGAATTTGTACGGCCACTGGAGGACAGAGGGAAGGGCCCAGGAAGACAACACCTCCAAGAGGCTGGGATTGGGGTCTGGGCTCATGAGCAGGACCAAGGAGTGGCCAACATATATATCAGTGATGGTTATAGTCATGGGGGAAAAGATGAGCATTAGGGAGAGCGGGGTTAAGAAGGTAATTAAGCAAGTAGACAGAGTTCTACCTGATGAATACTGAGATTATAAGTGATAATATGGTAGGTAGCAAAGGAGATAAAAAAGATGACAAATGAGAAGTGGGAGGAGAACCAAAAAAAAAAAAAAGATGTCATTTTGGAATAGCAAAATTTCAAGGCAAAAGACATAGTCAATAATATAGTATCACTGCAGGGAATTCAAAGCAGGAAGGGTCCTTTGTTTTGGCAATTAGAATTTAAAAAAAAAAAATACTTCCAGGGTAGGTTTAGGGGTGTGAGGGCAGAAATCAGATCACAGTGAGTTGAGTAAGGGAATGGTGAGAGTACAGACATACTGTGTCTATCGTCTGCCTTGGGTTTGGGTTTGGAAAGTGAGGTTAGCAGGAAAAATGCAGTAAACAGGTAAAAAATGACTGGGGTCCCCTATAGGTTCCTTTTTATAAAACTTGTACTGTATTTAGTTATGTGCTCATTGCTCTATTGTATGCGCCTTATCCTATATTCAATAGTTCTCAAGCAGGTTTCATTTTGTCCCAGGGGACATTTGGCAAGGTCACAAAGTTTAGTCAGAGAGAAAAGAGGTAGGACAATAGATAGAGGGAGATTCGTAGTTCAGGGGTGGCTTATTTCATTTTGTTGAGATTGGAAATATTTGAGCATGGCTGGGACCTAAAACGGATGAGGGAGAGAAAAGATAATTGGCAGAATCAGGTCCCCAAAGGAATGAGAAGGAGATGTTATCTAGAACATAAGTAGACAGTTACCCTAAGGCAGAAGATGGAAGACCTCTTCTCAAGAATTTGAAGAAAAGGATATGAGACTGTAAATACATTTTAAGCTATGTCTCAGTAGTTCATGTAAGCAAATGTGAAAGGGTCTGTAGCTTGGGGAGTTCAAAGAAATGATGTCGGTTTGTATGTGCAAAGAATGAGTGAGAAAACCAACCTGAGGCACATAAAGGAATTTCCAGGTTAGGTGGGGGACCAAGCAGAGTGTGGAAGCTCTGTGTGTACAGCAGAGTCAACCTGCCTGGTGAATATGGATTTTTTTGTCCTATTTCATTTTGGTTTGAGGAAATCTTAGATGCCAAGGAATAAGAACAGAGATACAGAGCATTGGATTAGATCAGAGACTGGGATTTCTAGAGAAGGTTAAATAAAAGAACCCAAATCAAGGAGGTGCAAACCACTGCTGAGAGAGAAGATGAATAATTCTGAAAATAGCACACTAATTACCATGATGATATTTACCAAGTGCTCACTGTGTAGCCTGTCACTTTCCTAAGTACTATGTGTGCATTAGATCATCTCACCCACATGACAGCAATGGCAGAGGTCTCTAGTGTTACATCCTCAGAAAATCAAAGCCCACAGCAGTAATGGTGGGGCTGGCATTTTAACCCTGGCTGGCATTTTAACCCCAGCTGGCTGGCTTCAAAGCCACACTCCACCACTACACTAAAACTGCCTGTGTTTGAAAGAATCTGAGTTGGAGACAGAAAGAATCAATAAAGGATCGGCCTGATAGACTGAGAGGAAAGGGAGGACTTAAGGAACTGGGGTCTCCAGGAAGAAAAATGGGTACATTGAGAGAAAACAGGTTAGAGAGCTACAGCTGGGAGGTTGAGGCCAGTGATGTATTAGAGTTTTGAATTTCAGGGAAGGTTAAGTGAGGCTTAAGGTACTGATGCTCTAAAGTGGAGTGGAGGCAAATCATTCCACCTAGTAGACCTGGGAATGGAGAATGCAGTATGAGGGAAAGACCATTCACACAGTGAAATTTTTCAGAAGAATGTTGGGACTGAAATTAGGAAGGAAGTTGGAACCACCTGTACTTGATATGTGGTGACTGTGTCCTCTGTCTGGACAGTTCTTCCCTGATGTGTCTGGGTGGCTTGTTTACTTTATTCAGGTTCAAAGGCTACTCACTCAGAAAAGCTTGCCTTGACCCTCTATCCCTCTCCTCCTGCCCAGATTGAGGGTTCTTACCCTGATGCTTTGAAATGTGTTATAGATTTATTTATAGTCTCTCTTCTCCAGTAGAAAAACCAAGCAATGTCAGGATTTTGTGTGTTTGTTCATGAATGTGCCCTCAGCACCCAAAAACATGCACAGAATACAGCAGGCTCTTGGTCAGTACTTGGTGAATGAATGAATAAATGGATGAAGAGCAGTTGGGGGCTGGATCAAGAACTTTAGTTTACATCAAGAACTGAGATCACACCCACTTTCTCTTGGGGAGTTGAAAAGAATGATGTTGATTTGCACGTGCAAAGAATGAGTGAGAAAACCAACCTGAAGCACATAAAGGAATTTCCAAGTTAGTTGCGGGGGAATCTAACTCTCTGGGTTTTCTGGTCTTAGAGCTGCTTCTTTTGTAGTTTGTTCTATTTGTTTTTATTGAGAAGTTCTCTCTCTCTCTCTCTCTCTCTCTCTATATATATATATATATATATATTATACCTTTGTTTTATTTATATGTAGTGCTAAGGATCAAACCCAGTGCCTCACACATGCTACACAAACACTCTACCACTGAACTACAACCCCAGCCCCCTTCTCTGACTTTTTATTGTACATTTTGGCCCCATCTTTGCTAAAGTATCCAGCCAGTTCTAATTTCTAACTCCCAGGAAAGCAAATCTAATAGGCCAGCTTAGGTTGAGTATCCTTCCCTTCCAGTCAGCTGTGACCCAGCAGGAACCAGGTAGAAGGAACCAGGGAGAAAGACTCTGTCATAGATGGCAGTGAAGTTAGGGTTTCAAACAGGAAGGTTGCCCACCTCTCCCAGATGTACTTACTACAATGACAGAACATTAGTGGTAAAAAGAGTCTTATACTCCCATACCTTTGTTTGTTTATAAGCGGGGAACTGAGGCTTAGCTGGGCCATACAGCAAAGTGAATCGTACACCCTAAAGCAACTGACTTGCAGACCACATTGCCCATATCGTATCACACTGGCTGTTTCATTAGAAAAATAAAATATGAACAGATTCCTGAATGTCTGCCCTACTGAAAGCCTGTGTTACAGGGAGTTGTGAATCCTGCACACAGTAGGACAATCAGCAGCACCTACTCACTGCATTTCAGTACTGGATTGACCAACACAATTTGACCTTCTTCATAAACAGTATCTAAGTATTACCTTTTGCTATCAATGCATTTTTATTTTATATGGATCCTTGAAATTTGTTCATTGCTTAATGCATACTTAATGTGTATTTTAATATTTGCTGATTTAATGCTTTAATATCTTAAGCTTAAGGTCCTAAAAAATAAGAGCCGCATCTATTAAACCTTCTTTATTCAGTACCCATATTTGATAAGGGCCAAGAACAAGAAACTTAAGGTTATCTTCCCAGCCTTTGTTTGTTCCAGAAAGCAACCCATTTCAGGTGGAGATTATCTACAATAGAACAAGAAAAAAAATGTATTCCTTCCCATCGTCATTCCCTCCTCCCTACTCATGTCAGACATCACTAATGATATGGCTGTTCTCCTGCAGACACAACATCCAAATTTGAAGGCTGAGGGAGATCAAATTTTTATTGTGTTCTCTAGTTTAACCCTCTGTGGTGAACCTTCCTATTTAGTCATTACTCATCTACTGAAATCTAAAATTGTTTTTTCTTTTTTAAATCCTTTTTAGTCAGTCAATAACTTGGGACAGTTGATAGGGAACCCCTGGATGTAAGTGGTTTCAGGATGGCCCTGTCCTGGATTCACTCTTAATTGGATGTGAGCTATCCATTTCTAAACTTGTTCCTCAGAAATAGTTTATACCCTGATATTACTTCTCCCACATTGGGTCTCAGAGACTACTTCAATTTTATAAACATTTTAAATGACATAAAGATGGTTAAAAGCTTAACTCTGAATATACTTTTGCCCAAATCTTTCTCTGTAAGTAGATAGTAGTACACAACAACATCATGGTAACATTAATAGAATTTTTTTTAAGTCAAAAGTGCTCATAGCACCATCACTCTAAGAAATAAAAGTTTAAACTCTTTACATTCTTTTACCAAAAATCCTTTACTATATGTATAATTTTATAAAGTTGTAGCATGAACACAATTTACATTTTGCCTCATTTGATTCTTTTAAATACCAAACTACCATCAAATATGTCATGTCTAACTTGAAATTTCTCCTCTAACTTTGAAGTTATTTTGTTGGGGAAAATATAGCTTTGTTCTGGAAAGAAGTCTCAGTGCAAATCCTATCAACTGATGTTTATCACCATTGCTGGAGTCCCATGCTTTCCTCTGAGGGGGGGCAGTTAAACATTTGCACTCCTCACAAGGGCGCCCAATGGATGAATTATGATATGGTGCTTATCTCACTGTGCCAACAACAAATGCTTCAGGCAGAAAATCAGACCAATGAGAAAGAAGCAAACCTTTTTACCCAAATGTGTTTTTAATTATAGTATTAACAAAGATAAAGCAAAACCAGGGAAGTGCAAAATAATCACTTGGGAGTCTAGCAAAATAAACATCATCTGTTCTCAGAATTATATTTATTTACTCTAAACCTGTTGTTTTTCCAAATATTGAAACCTTTTCCCCCTTAGTTTTTTTTTTTTGCTTATAAAACCTCAAATTAAATATACTTTTGCTTTAACAGCCAAATAATTATATAAGGAAAAATTACAAATATAAAACAAATCATGTTGGCATTTAAGGATTAAAATGAAGCCACAGCTTGATCAAAGAGATTCATTGGTTGATATTTATTTATCATTATGAATATTTCACATTTTATGTAGTCAAAGTGATCCATTACTGTTTTCCAGGAAGTGATAATATCCCTTCCAATACCATTAACAATATTAATCTTGGTCAAGGTTCCCTGCTTTAAAAATTTATAAAAGCAAAAGGTTGCTATAGTAACTATTCTAGATCAGTGTTCTCTGGCCCTGTTGATTCTAAAACCCTCACTTGTATTTGTATAAGGACAGTGTCGCAGGTAAGATATTATAACCATACAGAGATCCATAAACACAAGCATACAGTATGCTCCCCTCCCCTTTCACAGAAAGGCTTTTCTTAAAACAGTCTTTCTCTCTCTCTCTCTCTCTCTCTCTCTCTCTCTCTCTCACACACACACACACACACACACACACACACACACACACACACACACAAATGGGTTCCACAAGTTGTGAGGCTTCTTATGCCACATGCAATTATGGACCACATGTGTGCTCTGTCCACGTAGCCAAATCATTTATTCATGCTGTGCCTGTGAACACTCGGGTGGTAGATTTCTGCTGGTTCCCATCCAATTTCTTCTACTACATCAGTGTGTTCTTCCAGGGTCTTTCGGTTTCAACAACAGAAACGCACTCTAGCTAGTTTCGACAGAAAGGAGGCATTTGCTAGAAGTATAGCTTGTATTTCACAGGCAGGAGGGGCTTTAAGCAGATGCCAAGGACTACGGAGGTCAAACACAGGGCCCTGCCTCTAAGACCAGAGGTTTGATGCTCTCTCCTCATGCACACTTGTCTCTTTCTTCTGTCTATCTGCAGATTGACTATTGGTGCTTATGGGCAAAATGTGGTCACTTTCAAAGGCTCCATCTGCTTGCCACTGTGATGCTAACTCCAAATTCTTTAATAGTCACTTTAACAAAGAAAGAAGGGGCCAATTAGCCTTGTTGAAGTGAGGAATAATCCAGACTCAGGAAAGAAATGTCTTTAGGAAAAGAAGGATTTGGAGAAATATTTGGGAAGTACTTGCAGTACCAGTACTCAGGCAGAAAAAAAAAAAAAATCTATGTGTTTTTGTTTTTGGTTTTTACCTTCTTCATTTCTCATTTTCTATCCCAGTATGTCAAAATTAGTTGATCTTTTTTTGAAATCTATTGAAAGAAATGAATAATTTTATCTATTTCAAGTCTTGTTGGAAAAATGAGAAAGATAAACTCTCAATGAATAAGTAAACCAATATATGTGGGTTCACTTCCTGGCACATCAGAGTGTTAATTGGGGGCAGCAGAGAAGCCACCACTGGCCTGGTCTTGGAAAGAGTTGAGACTGAGCAAGTGGGAAAGGTAGCCAATTCCCTCCCATCTCTTAGAGGTGAGTTGAAGAATGGAGGGAGGAGGCCAGAGAGAGAAGACTTGTCTGCACCACTGAAAAAGGTAGGAGTAGGGGGTGGCCTTCTAGAAGTCTGAAGACTGAGGGAGCCCAAATTTTTATTGTGTTCTCTAGTTTAACACTCTCTGGTGAACCTTCCTAATTGCAAGATCAGATTCTGGTCTCGTAAAACGTTGACTGCCTAAACTTCTCGTGGGAAAGGGCAAAAGGCCAAGAAGAACAATTGAAGTCAGGACAAGGAAGGGAGCACGACTTCCAAAAAGTCCAATCCTGGCTTTCACCTCTGCTGTGCAGAGACTCAAAATGTGTTAAACATACAATTAAGAAATCGGACTGGGAGCCTGAGGGCCTACGCGTTCTGTCCGCATCACGGATGCTGTACTCAGTTCTTTTCTCTGGGTGAGGAGCCAGCTTAGAGCAGAGCTAATGAAGCTGTAAGAGGGGGCTTAGTTTGGCCCATCCACAATCCCCGCTTCTGCTCACATTTCCTTTGTTCTTGATGCCTCTTCCTGCACTTTTCCAAAGTCATCAAGAAGGGATTTCTAGTCTTTGGCAACTTAATGTGAGTACATGTTCTCCTTTACAGGTTATTTCCATGTATCCCTAATTAAAGCTTTCCCAGACTGTTGAAGTAATTTCAAGAGTATACTTTAAAATATGTAACAATTTCTTCTCCCAGATAGAGTCAGATCTTGGTAAATCAACTTAGTTCTCTCAAGGGTTGAGAATCAGCCAGTGCACTCTAGTTCTCTTTGAGTTGCTACAATACTAGTTTCCCTATTTCTATACTGGAGGCCAGTATCTAAGCCCACCTCCAAACTGTTCTAGGGCCTTCTGGTCCTGTCCGGGTCCTCCTGAAGTCCCCAGGATTTAGAGACTATTGGGTCACTCTGGCTGCGTTTGGGGCCTCTTGGTCAAGTCACTCTGTCTCAACTCTGCAGTCAGCATTCAGTATATAATTGGTTATATGGCGAGGTACTATTCTGATTGCAAAAAGTTTTGAATATCATCCTTGTTTTACTTCTTTGATTATGCTTTTCACTGTCAACACTATAAATTAAGTCACTTCTCCACCCCTACCCCCCGGATCAACAACTGTCCCACCAAACTCTTTGTTCTGTTTTGAAATTACAGAGTCCGTCATCCCAAGCAGTGGGACATTTCACGTAAAGCTCCCCAAGAAGCACAATGTGGAACTCGGAATAACGATCAGCTGTAAGTAAAAGTGGCTGCTTTTAAAATATGATGCTGTAAAGACATTAGAAAATTGGGTTGTTGGGTGGTTTACAGGCGTGGCACATGTTTTCAGCGTGAGGACCCGAGTGTTGCTGTCATGCTGAGAAATGGTGGAGTTGCTCAAACCTCCAGCACTTACTCACCTTTTGAATGGGTCCAGTTACCCAAGCTCTCTCTGATGTTTTTCTTTATAACATGAAAGTGGATATCTACAAAATATAGTCATTAAGTATTACATAAAATCATAAACTCCCATACCTTGTACAGTGCCTAGTAAGAAATCAGTAAGTTTTTAATAAGTATGTTACACCTCCCCCTATGAATAATTAGAGGAGCAGAAAAGTGCATATAAATTCTTTACATTTTGGTATATTATGGATTAAGTTTTATACTTAATCAATGCAGTAAACAAATGATCACATTTATTTACTTTCAAGACCATCTTCTTGTGTCTACTGTGACTCTATAACCCATTTCACAAAACTAAAACAAGGTCCCTTCTTTGTTAAATCCCTGCATTCTTCCATGGCATTGAAAGGTGTGTTGGTAACCAAACGAAAAGAAAAATCAGAGTATATAAATGTGTTTCATTCCTTTTCTTCCTCAGGCTCTCGTTTCATAACTCCTTTGGTAAAAGGACTTTAAAAATTTCAGCCCCAGTGGACTTTCATAAAATGGAAATTTAGGGGAGGGGGCTTGTCCTTTTAATATCCACAGACTCAGTTCATCCATAAATGCCCCAAGAAAATGAAGCAAATGATCAGTGCATAAAGATGAAAGGAGCACAGAGCAATGACTGTGACCAGGAGGTGGCTGCCTCAAGAAAGAATGATGAGGTTACATGAAAGGGCTTTGCCACACTGTCAGATAGCATTTTTGTCAGTGGTTAAAGTAAAATAAATAAAAGGAGTTCCCAATTGGGCAATATGAAGGGCGACTGCCCAGTCCCACTTTGATGATATAAATTTAACACTAAAAATGCAATTTTATTTATAACTGATAAAACACGAATATCTACCGCAGCACTAGAAAGACTGGTTCTCCAATTCAGAGTCATGTTAAGAATAAGAAACCATATATATGAGAGGTGATCTATAGCCCCCCCATGAACCAGAGCGGCCTATTAGGAAGAAAGTAGAAAGACAAATGAGATTTTGGCGGCTCCATCCCTATTTTAGGTGCAACTAAAGTCATTTGTACTCTAAATTGGGTCTCTCAGCCTCTTAGAACTCTGTGAAGTAAATATGGTTTGTGATTATTCTGTCAACAGCCGTGGCTCTTGAGATTGAGGGCACATCATGACTTACAGTCCCCAAAACATTTGGGGTTCAAGGTGGCTTCTGCAACCCCATGTAACTTTAAGGCAGTTCATTTATTCTGTTGATTCCTTCCATCCCTTTGTTCCGTCAGACCAGGCTGCTCAGGTAGTGTCTCTTGAGGTGTATAGTGTGGAATCTCTTGGCTCTGCCCAGAGACCTGCCTGCACTTGTCTTCTTTTTCTTCCCTTTTTCTACCTTCATGCATTCAATATATCCTGTCCTCTGTGTGTCTGTGCTAAATTTCAAGAGTAAATGCCCTGTCCAGAAGATGCTTCCTGCCGGTGGGTATTTTGAAGCCATCAGCTCTATGGAAACTTCTGCTGATTATTTTACGTTCAAATGTTTTATTTAGGAAAATGGTCTTGTATTATTTTATGTAATAAATTTATTCTCAAAAATTAATATAAATAAAAACATAATGTATTCAGTGTCCATCAAAAATAATCCTGTGATATATCTTTTTCCAAAAAAATAGACATTTATATGCTCAGTTTGAGATGGAGTTATGTACATGCACTTGCACAATATTTGTTTATTCACATGTAGAGTCATTTAAAATTATGTCTTATGATGTTTTTGTGTGTGTGCCAATCATTACTGCTGAAACTGACTCTAACAATAATAATGGCAAAAACCCAAACTCCTGCTCTCCAAGAATGGTTTGAATTGAAGCCAGCCACAAGCAAATGCTATTTATGGAAGCTGGAAGTGCTGTGCCACTCCTAGATGGAGAAGTGATATACAGGCCTGTCACACATGCTTGTCAGCCCTTCTAGAGCTACGGCTCCATTTATGTCACTAATCATCACCATGCTGAGTTTGTGTCTCTCATGGAACATGCATATATTTCGCCAGTTGAGAAAACACAACTTGCTATAAAAGGGGGAAAACAAGGCCAGAATCCATTTGTGTTGCTACAAAATAGCAAATTCGTGGTGCCTGTCACAGTCACTGGCACATACAAGGTGCTCATTTAATACTTGTATCTGTTAAGTGAATGAATAAGAAGTCTTCATGAGCAAACAATGTTCTACTAATAGTAGCCCTCCAAGAAACAAGCCCTCACAGGAGATGATGAATACGCATGCTTGTGCGTAGACTGTTGCATGAACTGAGGAAGCCTTGACTTGGACAATGATCACCTGATTCCCTCCCTCTGCCCCCAGTTTCCTTACCTATAAAAGGGGTACATATTTCCTCCTGCATAGCATTGACAAGATTAAATGAGTTAGTGTATGTAAAGTCCCTAGAACATGTTGTGCACCCTCATGAGTATTAGTATGATGACAATTCTTCGTTACTTTGCACATGGAGCCTTTTGAAATATTTTAAGCACACCTCCAGACCATAAATTCTAGTGTCCACTCTAATCATACCTCCTACGTTAGGAAATCCAGGGGACCCACTTCTCAAACACACACAGGTATTGAAAGTGAAACTGAGGCACGATAAGGGTTGATTGATCTTCCTCACCATCTTTATACAAAATCCCTTTCTATCTTCTTCACCTTGTGAAAACTCAGTGTACTAAAGAAGGGCCCTCCATCCTGGAAACATCCCATCAAAACCTTTATGATTCACTCTCCAGGCTTGATCGACTAAGAGTCCCTCTGAGTGGGGACGTAATGGGCAGTTTTAGACTAATTTTCTTAAGTTCCCACTGAAACACTGATAGAACATTAGCATCAGGCATTACTTTTATGGATGTTATTGCCTTATTATGGAGGGATTTACTGTACCAAATAAAGTGGATGCAGTTTGGAACTGGAAGCCACACCCCAACACCCTCATACCCAGCCAGCCAGATCATAGCTGTTACCTTCCTGTTTTCAAGACAGAGAACCCTGGTTGTCTGTATCATGTGCCTTCATCCATAAAGTCCTTCTGACAATGGATTTCTGGGGTTTATAACTACTGTATGCTGTGCCTAGCACTGCGCAGTTTTATACCTTTTCTTATTAAATCCTCAAAGCAATCCTGGGATATCTGTCCCCATTTCATAGACAGGACAGTCTGGTTCAGCTGTGTAACCTGCCCAAAGACCCTGAGCTAATAAAGGGCCAAGCAGGTGCCAAATCCATTCCATCTGCCTTAACCTTGGCTTTACTCTCATGGCACCTCTCAGCCCTGTCGCCATCTGATTGATGAACCTTCCCAGATTCTGTACCAGAAAAGCAAAAGGCAGCATTTTTTTTTTTTTGAGTGCAGCTAATTTGTTGCATTTCCTTTTTGGTTGTGACTGAATTGTTTGCAGAAATAAAGGCTTGCTTTATTTTTTTAGAAAATCATGAAGTAGCCTTTATGACAAGCACAACAAATCTGTCATTCCCCCGCTAAGTCTTACACACATTTAGAAGAGAATGGTTCATGGGTTTTGCCAATTTTGCAATAAAAAAACTACTCAGTGCTCCATTTCAAATCAAATAAACTGGTTTACTTTCCATGCATTGTGTATATGGTTGCAATTAAAGCAAAGCTTAATGAGAGAGACAGAGCGACAGGGAGTTTCTCTGTTGTAGTTTGGTTTCTTCATCAGACTCTTTGAGCCAAGAGCCTTCACTAGTAGAATAAGTTCCACCAATAACTGGATGTTTCAGAATAGTCTTGAACCATTTCATTGATTTCCATTTAATTTCAGAATTCACAAGAGTTCACTTGTCTTCAAAAACAGGAAAAGTTTTCAGACAGTATCATTTCCTCCAACACATTTTTTCCTTTATGTTGTTTTGATTTTTGTTTTGTTTTGTTTTGGAGTGTGGGTTTGAATCTAGGGCCTTGTATATACTAGGCAGGCACTCTGTAACTATGCCCAGAACAGTTTGCAATTCTGGATTATGACATGAGTGAAAAATGGTAGATGCTTACATTTCTCTAGAGGAATTGTATCAAATCTTTGAGTGAAGGTTTAAATATTAAATTAATTATAGCAAATAGAATAGTTTGTATTCTTTGCCAGAAGCTAAGTATAATGATTAAATGAAGTCTCATTAGTATTTACTGTGAACTAATTTAGACAGGTATTGGTATCTATGTTTGCCTCTTTTTTTTTAATGTAGTGTTAGATATTAAACCATCTGTTCTCCTGCATAAACATTTTCCTGTAATTCAGATGGGATTATGGGATATGATATGGTTCTATGATTATTATGGGTTGATCAGACTGTTTATCATAAAATCTTACTTCAGGGACCTTCTAATGGTCCCTAAAAGTATATTATTCCAGGCTTCAGGTCGGCCAAACATCTCTCAGAGGCCAATTGTTTTTTTTTTAAATATTGAATATGGTTACTTTAGTATCAAACTCTTATTAAATTACATATAAACTTCCTAAGTCAAGATGATTTTTTTGTACTTATATGGACTATAACTCATTTCCAGAGATAATTCTAAGTAAACTCAGTTCTACTTGGTTTTCATATTTATCACATGGAAATATTCCTAAGAAAATCTATAAAACCCAAAACTGACTACTGTGCAAAATAATAGTTTCGTCTGCCAACCTAATCAAAGTTGTATCAGAATATATGAAAATTTAGTTAACTAGCAATAAAATATTTACTACAGCCATTAAAATAAAATAGTCACATTCCAGAACATTTCAGAATGATATGAATTTGTGAGCAGAATTTAAAGATTTATAGCACAACTATCAAAAGATTTCCTTCTGGAAAAAAAAAAAGGAACTTCAAATTAGCACTTCTCCATTCTGTCTCCTGGTATGCTTGAGTAACAAGACACATCCCCATCAACATGTCTCCTCTCTGGAAAAAAGTGCAGGACAGGGTGGGAGAAAGGGTCACCTGTCGGCACCACTAAGGGAAGCCCCAGTGGATTCTAATATTCTCCTACTGAGGTATCAGTCTGTCAGGTCCTCCCTGGAGAATCACTGATTAAAATAGATTTAAGCCTGATGGACAGCTCTCCAATTGCTTTTTCCAACTGCAACCTTAAATGACTTTGCTTTAGGTTTTCAGTTTATAAATAACAAACATTGTTATAGATATAATGTACATGTTTTCTAATTCATTTGACTCATAATGTTTGCTTTGCAAACAGACTCTAATTGCATTAATGAAAGTTATTATAAATCAGGGAAAATGTACTGGGAAACCATGGATATAAAGATATGATTGTCCTATGTTCATTATTACAGCACCATCAAGTAGAAAACCAGGGGATCCCCTTGTCATTTCAGATATCAAGAAAGGGAGTGTGGCACACAGGTAAGGAAATCATATTTTCTGGTTTATTCCAAGATCTCTCTTAATTTAATCAAAAATGACCCCTTCCATCCCAAGGCAGATTTTGCTAATGGATCACTATTCTCAATATTATATAGGCAGTCCCTATTAATCAATCAGATTTGATATCCCTGATAGCAATGGATATGTAGATATTCCCCTTATATCAATTTATTTCTGTACCCAAAGCAGACAAGAGTCAGCAAAAAAATGTTTTTCAGGCCCTTTCATGAGTTTAGTGTGGGCTCTTCTTCACTGATCATCATCCATATTGGATTTTCCAGCTAAAACCCTGACATTAGCTCCAATTATGAGAAGTCTTCCTCATAGACATGACAGCTGGTGGAACATGTTGCTAAGTGTCCTCCCTGGGCACACAAGACCCTTGAGCATTAAGCAATGTTCATGTCTTCTATTTGGCCCATATGTCATTAAAATAAGGGAGTCTCAAACTTTTATTTCAGAGATAAAAATACTTCTTAAGTGACTGAAAATACTGACGTAAGACTATTAGGTTTCCTTTCATTTTTCCATTAAGGACTTTTTTTAAAAAAAAAATCCCATTTATTACACAATCATGTCATTAAAAAAGTAGTTTAAAATGCAAAAGGAAGGAAGGACATTGTGTAAGTTAAAGTGGATAGGTGTATAGGCTCAGCTGTTGTGAAAAAGAAATTTACCAATTGCATGGATCAAACAAAACAGAAGTTTGTCTCTCACATAACAACTGGGAGGTAGGCAGGCCATCCAGACTGGGAGTCACTGCTGGGGGAAGGTAGCCATTCCTCCTCCTTGCCAGTCATCTGCCTTTCCTAAACACAGGCGGGAGGTAGGCATTGGGAAAGTGCTAAGAGTCTGGAGCATACATTTTTTAGAAGGTTACTCAGAAAAACAAAGAGGCAAATAGATGTTAGGAAACAATTAGCATCCTCTAACAAAGATTTAATGCACAGAGGACAGTTCTTGCAAATATCTGGGTCCATACATGTATACACATACAAACACATATACACAACATTCTCATTATTTTTCTCATTTCATCATGATCCTTAAAAACTTTCAACAGACCTGTACTTGTCCATTACCGGTATTAGATTCTAAGAGACCACTTTCTAAAAAACTAGCATCAGGTTCACCTGTACCTCTTCTCCCTACTCCAGTCACAGGCAGAAATGTAGAGATTCCAAGTCTCAGGTTCCCTCCAACTCTGTCCCTCCTTGACTACTCCCACTCTCTCATCCTCTCCTATTGCTTGATTTCCAGAGACCAAAACAGGTACAACAGTGTGGAAGAGCATAAGGAATCGGAGGTCTCTGCAGACCCAGCCCATTTCCCCTCTTCCCAGGAAACTTGGACTTCCTTAGTGAAGCTTACATGGATGTCCCCATTTAACTGACAAAAGCATTTTTAAAACATTGTAATACTCTGCAATTTAATGTCACATCAGCCATCCCAAACAAGGCTGGAAAAAATGGGGTTTGTCAATACGTGCAATTTAAAAACAGTTTGAAGACACTCTTTTCCTCTGAAGATTACCATAATGCTGCATTATGCTTAATGCCTCTTTAAATGGCCTGCTTAAGCGTTTATCATTAGTCATGTGTCATTCTGCATTTACTCACAGAACTGGAACTCTGGAACTTGGGGATAAATTACTTGCAATTGATAACATCCGGCTGGACAACTGTTCCATGGAAGATGCAGTTCAAATCCTTCAGCAGTGTGAAGACCTGGTGAAGCTCAAAATCCGCAAAGATGAAGATAATTCAGGTATTGATGGCATCCTTACTTATGACTGATTGTTCCGACTGCCCATTTGTCAAAACGTAGTAGTGCTTGATGTTTTACATACAACAGCTGGCTAGTGACATTGCAGCACTTTTTTTTTTAATGTAGTTAAAAGAGACTTTAAATTGTGCATTCAGAGTATCATATAAATTGTAAATAATGGTGCTTTAAATTAAATAATTGAGGTATTTTCACTGTACATATTATTGTGTTTGTATTAATTTTTCAGGGTGAAACTAAATCATCACCCAATATCCCCTAATACAATGGAATTAATCATTTCCAAGCCTTGGTTAATATATACATTTCATAATTATATCCATAGTGAATGTTGCATTTTTACTTAACTTTACAGACATTTTTCCATTTACAAGCCCTTAATATCTGTTTTTGTTATTTACTGCCTGTAATTTATTTACCATTCTTTTATTCTTAAATTGCTTTCAATTGCTTCATTATCGTGGATAGTACTATCATAGATATATTTATGCATAGATACTTTTGTTCCACTTTTCTTCTTTGGAATTATTTTCGTAGAAGATTGCTGAGGGGGAAAAAAAAGAAAAATAAAGAAAGAAACTTGTGATCCTTGCACCATGTTGCTTTCTTGAAGGGCTATGTCCATTCTCAGGTGTCCAATAGCATGTGAATACAGCAGGAATGGAGCAATGCTTCTCAGAATCTAGTAGGCTTCAGAATCGCCTCTGCAGCTTATGAAAACACAAGTTCCAGGACCCTATCACCAGGTGGGGCCTGGAATTCTGCATTTCTAACAAACTTCCAGGTGATGCTGCTCAGTCGTGCACTTTGAGTTGGCACTGCTGAGGGAGCCCATTGTCTATGATAACAACTTAGAGCCAATTTAAAAAAAAAAAAAAGTTCATTAATTGAAAAAGTCAGATTATGTGGAAAATTATATAAAATGATAAATATTCAAAGCATAAGCATTTAAATTTTGCCAATCTTATGGGTAAAGTCAAGGCCTTTCCTATGAATAGGATTCTACTGAGTATAGTTGCGAATCTTTGTCTAAACTATACACATATAATTCATGATTTCCAATTTTATTTTACTTTTAAAATTAAAAGTATTTTAACTGATAAATAAAAACAAAAATTATACCCGTTAATGTGGTAGTATGATGTTTTGACACATGTATGCTTTATGGAATGCTTAACTCAGGTTAAACATCTATCTCCTCAAACATTTATTATTTTGTATGATAAAAACTCTTAAAGTCCTTTCTTCTACCTTTTTGGAATGTATAGTATGTGGTTATTATCAATAGTCCCCCTACTGCACAACAGCACACCAAAACTTTTTTGCAGTCTTAATTTTAACACAGTGAGAATTTAAAGCAATCTTATCACTTACTTCACCTATATTTTTATTTTCTGCAATGTTTTCCTCCTATTTAATTAACAATAGATCTGTACGTAATGTATTTGCTTTTGTTTTCAAGGAATAAGTACATAGATTCTTTATACAATAACAAGTAAAACTTGCATAAACAAATTTGGGAATAAACACAATTCTAAACTTTTAAGGTTGTAGCTCCGGCAGAAGCAGAAAGGTACAGGGGAACTAGAAAAAGAAACCTATTTCTCAGGAGAATTTTATGGCATTAGTCGGTATATTTTATAATAGAAAGCCACAATGAATCCAGTAAAGTGAAAACTGGTTACAATGTAGTTAAATTGCTTAAGTGAGGACTCATTATAATATAGATATGTAATTTCATCCCAACTGCATTAATCAGCTTTCTATCAGTGTGACAGATTACCTGAGAAAGTAAACTTAGAAGAAGGAAAGGTTTGTTTGGGCTCATAATTTCAGAGGTTTCAGTCCATGGTTGGTGGGTTGGTTTCAGAGTTTGGGTGCCTGTAGTGAGGCAGAACATCATGGCTGGGAACATGAGACAGAACAAAGCTGCTCACATCATGGTGGCCAGGAAGCAAAGGGAGAGAGGAGAAGGGAGCTATTATCTCAATATGCCCCCAATAACCTAACTTCCTTCCACTAGGCCCCACCTCCAAAAGCTTCCACCTCCTCTCAACAGTACCACAGACTGGCAACCAAACCTTTATCATGTGGGCCTTTGCAGGAACATTTAAGATCCAAATCAACGAGCAGTGAACTATCATCCATGTTCTGGAATCTTCCCATAAACCACCTAGATCTAGAGTTCACCGTCATGTCAGACCATGTGTTAATGCTTTTTATACAAAGTTTTAAAAAAATTAGTAGTTACATAGATCAATACAGTTGGTAATGATGATTATATACAAATATATTTTATAACCAAATGTTTTAAAAATATGCACTCGTTTGTACTCATTATTTCCTAAGCAACTAATTTTCTATGCCAACATTTGCATTTCTTTTGTTTTGAATCTGCTTCAATTGCACTTGCTTTTGGGGATTTATTTCAAGAGAGGGCTAACGCCTCCAGCATCATCTGGGTTCCCTCCTAGCAAAGAGACAAAGCTCTGTGGAGAAAACTATTTTACTTGATTTTCCCAGCTAAGCAGATCTCAGCTACTTCCTTGCACAATGAAAAAGCAGAGCCTGAGATGAATATGCATGGTGTATACAGTTGGCAATGTGTCCCATTTCAAAGCCCAGCTGTGCAGATGCACTGGCAGGGATTTCAGAGACAACAACATAGCACTTGGAAAGCTAAATCTTAGTTTCAGTTGCTGATTTCCTTTGGCTTGTTTTTCAGCTTTATACCTTTCTTTTTATAATCCTCATACCAATATTATGGTAATTATCATGTTTATCAAGAGTTTTTTAACTTTAAAAATGTACTATTTTTAAAATTCTAAATTCTTCCATTGGAAAACACACATAGACAAAAATCAGACTATAAATACTGATGGGAGGGATATATTTACCCAAACCAAATTTTCTCAAATTGGTATACCAAAGTATAGATGCATTTAGACATGTTTTATACCAGATCACTATTTGAAAACTATCATCCGATCATCGGTTTAGAAGAATTAGGATGGGCCCCAATATCCTCTTCCCTCATGAGAGTGAAAATATAATTTGAGAAACTAAAACTGTTTTTTATTTAGAGCAAATCAAGTGGGAGGAACCCCATTATTAAAAATGGAAAACCTGATTACAGATTGGTTCAAGACAGTCTGTGGTAATCATAAAGCACAACATTTAAAATCAGACCTGAGTTTAGAGTTTGGCTCTACTGTACTTGAGCTTTGTGAGTTTGGGCAAGTTACTAAACCTCTCTGATATTCAGCTCCACTTCCAATAATGTGCATGTAAAAGTATGTATCCCCTTCAGTGAGCTGTTGTAACCTGTCCTGGCACAGTTGGTGTTCAGTAAGTGGGGAGTGTTTTTACTATAAGTGCCTCCTGAAATCCCTTTCCCTGTACCCATTCTAATCCTTAATCAAGATATAACTGAGTGGAAGATAAGCACTTATCATCAGGACAGTGGCTTATTTGGGAACTGTAATATTGTTCCTAATCTGAAATTAGGCTGGTAATTTGAATTGTCACTCTGAATCGTTCCCATCCTTTGTCTCAATGATTTTGAATGGTAATATTCAGTATACATCCTCTATCCCTGAAATATTTATCATACTAATACTGGGTTTTGTCTACCCTAAGAGTTTTCCATGTCTTTCTTTAATTGTCTGTTCCTTGCTATCCTTTGCCGATGGGAGTTTATGACCATGCCTGATGCAACCCGATTTCCTAAGGTTGCCTCAAAGATGCTGCTTCACAATGTCAGCATTTCTCCTAGGTGTACTCGTCTCATTGTTCTGCCATTGACCTTATGCTAGGAGATAGTGGAACTAACATGGACCAAGTCTTTGGTTTTCAACCATGCCATCGGCATAATTTGGTGTCCATGCTGTAATAGGAACTAGGCAGGGCCCAATCCCTGCCCCTAAATCAGTCATTGCTCAGTAGGATAAACAGAAGAAAACCCACATTTAACACTACAATGAATATTCTCTGGGTTTGCATACATGTTAAGAGAAGGTGGGGGTATCCATTTAGGCATGGGGAGTTTGAGGGAATGAGTCTAACAATCTTAGTCTCCACAGTGTTGGTCCTGCCCAGGCAGGACAGGAGAGTGGAGGTAGTGTGGCATATCCACATAGGCAGCTGTGGCTGAAGCCTAAAGTGTAAGGACATTGTAGTGGGTGAGCTTGGAAAGCCAGTGGAGACAAACCATTATGGGACTTGTACAAACCATTTTAAGAAGTGAAAGCCCATGATGGGGGGGGGGCGCACCATAAGAGTACAGCTGGGGATTGCAGCCATACAATTGGGTTAGTGACCACTCATTTCCCATCTGATAAGCTTGGAAACTTGAGCCACTCAACGTCTCTGAACATCAATTTCCTCATCTGAAAATGAGCATTTGATGCCTATTTTGTATGGCTGTTTTTAAGGATCAAAGGAGGTAATTATTTTAGCAATAATGTTACACACAGTGAAGCCCAGTGAATGTGTTATCCTTATGAGAATGTTGATAAAATCAATTTTAGTTATATTTTAGGATGGCAAAATCTGTTGGAACACTGGGGTGGTAGGCATTTTTCTCCCTCTAGATTCAGTTACCATTCTGCCTTTGCAAGCTTTTGTGTTTGCCATCTTTCATCACAACAGGAACATAACCCAACAAGAGATAAAGGGTTCTTGCATGAGTCCAGATCTCCAAGATGATGGCTGCTACTCAATCCCTAAGTCCACAAAGATGCAAATAACCCTCTCCAAGAAAAACCTATTGTTTCACCTTGACTGCATCTGGGTTCAATATCAGTGAAGAGGGGAGAGTGAGATCTGGCTGAGTCTGGGGGTAGCATCCCTGAAGCAAAGCTGTAGAGACTTTTGGGGATCTGTAGGAAGAGATGAAGGTTTACCAATCTATCCTATATAGTTTGCAAGGATCTGTTTTATATCACTCCTTTTCTGTCAATCAAATACACAGCTGTTATGAT